TGAGGTGTTGCACACAATATCAAAGCAGACACGTGTGTTCCCTGACCACAAGGACCCCACAATAGTCTAGGTGATAAGACACATGTACCTGAAAATATAAGTAACACATCTTGTGAGGACACAGGCATAACCCATAAATTGCTGGGGAAGAAGTACCGGGGTCAGAGGTCAGGGAAATACCAGTTTCTCAGTTGCAGGAACTAGACGCCTGTCCATATTACACCCTGTGGAGTAGAAGTGAGGCTGGTAGCCTATGGGTTATATGGGCTTCATGAAGGAACATCAGTCAGGACACTTAGCTCAGACCAGGCGACATTACAGATATAATCAGTATCAGGGGAACATCTGTGCAGTAGAGTCCTGCCTAACATCTTTAGCAACAGAAAACCTGGGAAATGTAAAAGCAGAGCAAAATGCAAATGAACAGAGCAGATGGGTTCTGGGACTAGACCCCAAACCCCATTAGAAAAACCATTCCAGGAAAAGTGATCTGAGTCACTAGGAACTCCACCCATCTCTTCAGGTCTTGTTCTTCTTCACTTATAAAATCAGAACTGCCAAGCCTGGAGGTAGTTCTAGCCTTGGAAAAAAGCAATGCTACATCCTGCACCAGAAAGGTTTTGACTTAGGCTCAAACTACATCCATACGTAACTCCAGTTGCCCATCCCTTTCCAGAACTGATGCCTAGATTGAGATACTCTACTGAGAAGATTGTTTACCTGGGTGCTGCATCTTTCTTTCTTGCGTTAAACTCCAAGGTCAGTGTGGACTTGGTTTGGACTGGACATTCTGATCACCTAGACCAGAAACGGCCTTTACTCTTTCCTACATTAATTAATCTCACTGGACTTGACTTCAGGCTTTCAAATAATATCATCTTCTGATGTCATACCATCAGGATGAGCAATCCTGGCAAAAGAGATGTTTCCAAGCCGGTGCAGAAATGACAGGGGAGCAACCTGTCCCACAGCTTCACCTTTTCTGCATATCTCTCCTCTCCGTCCTCCAAGAATCTTGACGACCTGGGATTCTGAGGCACTTTCCTAGGGCATGTCTCCACATATCCCTGTGATGGTGGTCAGTTAAGCAAGCTTCTGGATATGTGTACCACTAGCAACTCCCATTACTAGCAGCACACGGCCAATCCTGAAGAGCATGGATGGATAACTGAATACAGAGAGACTTGACATTCCACCCTGGAAAGGTTTGCAACAATGGGTTTATTAGTCCCCGGAGGTGTATTTCATGTAGTCATAAAAGACATCACTTCTGTGATTTATGCCTCTGCTTATCCCTCTCCAAAAGTCAGGAATGTCAAGATTCTCCATCCTAATCTGTTAAGGCCCCACAGATAACCTACCTTTGTAGCTTTTTCCAAAGATCATGACCTGCTTCTGCCACTGACTCTCAACAGCATGTTCAGAACCATGCATATAGGACTACGCTGACTGGCTGTATCCGGTCTATCCAGCACCTAGCTGGTCAATATGTTAGATGTGGGCTTTGGATTCTGAAAGTCAGGGCTCTGTCGTGTACTTCTGTGTGCTTTTAATACAATAACTTAAACATGCTTGGTATTAGAATCTTTTTTTCTATATAATATCATTAGTAATATCTATGTAATAGTTTGGTTGGGAAAACTAAGTGAAGAAATTAATAAAGAGAGTCTTACAGTACTATTACATGTTACATGTTCAAAGTGTCAGCTGAGTTGATTAAATTGGAATGACCAGTGTGCTGTGCCACAGAGGTGGCTGCTTTTTTTTTTTTTTTAATCATATACTGAAAAGAGTTTTCATTTCTCAAAAATTCTAGTCCGGAAAAATGTGAGCAGTTTTTTTCTGCCTTCATTGCCCTGAAAGTTCCCAGATAGAAAGATAACATGAGCTATAAACCCCCAAATCCACAAAGTTCTACCAGCTACAAACTAAAATAGAGAATTTTCCCAATTCTTCCTCATTTGGTGTGCCAGGCAGCTAATGAGAAGGTGCTGGTAAAAACAGTGGTTTCCCCTAAAACAAACTCATTGACCTTTTGCCCTTTCTAAGGTGTTTCCCTCTTCAGCATCTGAAGAACTGTAATGTTTCATTTTTCCCACTGAATAACCAGTGACCACAAAAGCAAGCTGTTGACTGACACACTGGGGAAGAAGCTGAGCGTAAGTGAACCTTCCCTGGGAACTACTATTTACATCACCAACTTACCTGGGACACTTCAGATACGCTTAGAGACAAACCTACGCCTACTGGGGAAATTGGTGCTTCTCAAACATTAAGATACCAAGTATAAGTGTGTAATTGGATTAACACTGGCAAGTAATCATAATAGAAAATTTGAAACAGAACACTATTTGGACATTAGTAGGGAAAGATGAATTGAATTTGGTTTTCAAACATGACCTTACAATTTCTAACATGGACACCCGAGAGGGTGGGCAGTAAAATATGTTTGAATATGTGACTGTAGATAAATAAGTCTAAAATCCAAACTCTGAGCACCAGCACGAGAGCAAGAAGCCCTCACATTTAGTTTAAAAAGCAAAAAGTGAAAGTCTTTCTCTGAAGAATTAATCATCGTCGCTTAGGTGACCGTGGGATTTTGACTACTGAGTAAGACAGGAAAATATTAGCAAACAATGGACTATTGGGATGAAAAAAGAAAAGGATCTTTTAGAAACTTAAACATATCATTTACTACACCTTATTAATGATTAATAGCATCTTGAATTATTGAATAAATATCTTCTAAGCACCTTCATATTTAAAATTCCAGGGGTTAATTATCATTCCTCTTTTACTTGTTCTATCAGCTGCATTTAACACAAACAGACTCTATATTTTAAAAATATTGTCTTTCTTCACTTTGTTCAAAGAGGCATCCGCGTTTGGTGAGTTATATTAACAAAGCCCACTCCTGTTCCCTGCTTCTTGGCCGGACCACGCTCTGCTCCTTCCTCTCAACTTCTCGACGCTGCGGTTCTTTTCTCATTGCACAGGTGTTCTCACCACGGCCCATCTGTGCGCTGGGGTCCTCCAACTTTCTATCTCCAGGCCTCACCTCCCTCCTAAAAGCCAGACCCCTGTGTCCAGCTGTGTTCAACATCTCCTAAGGGGCTTTGCGAATATAACTAACCAAACTGATCTCTTGCTCCCTACCCCCATCCCACCCTAGCCCTCTTCCCAAGTCTCCCCCACGTCACCTGGTGCTGTTAATCGTCACCTGTTGCTGAGCCCCCAAGCCTGAAGGCTTCCTCAGCTCATCTTTCTCTCCTTCTCTACATCAAGTCCTTCGAGTGGTCCTGGCCACTCTTTGTCCAGATTTTATTATAAATCTGGATGCTTCCTATGACCTCCCCATCGTCTAGTCCTAGACCAAGCACACCGAGTAATTTCCTACATCACTGAGAATAAAACCCAAACTCTGGGTTGGTCTATAAGGTCCCCATTACCTACTAACAGTGACAGTTTAACCCTGCCATCGCTCCCGTCGCCGCCCATGACTTCATCATCTCCACCACAGAGCCCAGACCTCCTGTTGCTTTCTGTCCAGCTGCACGTCCCGGAGGCAGCCCCATGACTTGTAACGACTTCTTTAAGGTCTCTGTTCAACCACAACATCCCTCTGAAGACTATCTGTGACACCTGTTCCTTACTCCCCACCATCATCCTCTACTTCTCTTTCTCTCCTGGCTCATAAATCCCTTCCAGGCCTGGCATCATTTATCAGCTATTCACTTACTGTCCACCCCATCGCTACCTTAGAAGATAAGCCCCAGAGGCGCAGGGCTATATCTCTTTTGTTCTCTACTCTACTTCCACTGTCTAGAACAATTCCCCAAACATCATGAGAACTAATAAATTGTTTTTAAATACAATTAAATATTAATTGAACATATGTAAGTTATTTATTTAGTAAGCTACAAGAGGCTCATGTTATAGGTATGGGCAATGAATTCCCATGGTTTTAGTTGAATCCCTGTGGGGTGGCTGGTGATAACATACACGGTTCTGCCATCCATTTCTATCTGTATGTGCAAGATGTCATTTATACACACATGCAAGTCTTACTTGCATCAACAGCAACCAAACCTGGACACTACCTAGTTCCTTGTGAACTAGAAAAATAATAAAATATTAGCAATAAATCTGAAGGCATGTAGAGTCAAGAAGCTTAAGACACCACACATATACAAAGAAACCACACAAAGAAAAAGCAAATGATTAGTAGTCACACATGTGGTAATCAAACTGTGATCACAAAACCATGGGAGGAGACGATCAAGGCCAAATCATTTGATTCACCTCCAACACTATCAACCTACACAGTTTCCACAGAAAACCTTCTGGGCTATTTATTATTGGCTGTCCTCTAGAGTTTTTAGAACAGAGTATGAAGTCTACCCACAGAAACGTTCTTTGAATAGGTCCAAGAAGAAACATCTTGGGGGACTCACTGAATAATGATATAATGAACCCAGGCTTTCACACACACCTTAATGGAGTACGGGTATCCTAATGTACTTATTCATGAATATCAAGTTAAACCTTCTTGGAGATTCCAGGAACTAAAAGACTTTCACCATTAGTCATTTTGACAAGGGCTCTATGCCATTTATTTCTGGCCAAGGATCAGGAGAGTCACGAGGGAAACCATATGCTCAGCTTTCATGACAAAATACTGGGGATTTCTCAAGGACAGTCCCCTTCTCTTGAGCAGCCTCAAATGCATCCAAAAACCAGGCACGTGCACAGAGATATGCATACACACACACACACACACACACACACACGTTACCTGGGATATATCATAAGAGATTGCAGGAGAGATATGGAGCATTCATATGTTCCTTTTAGCTTTTTTTCTTTTTCTTTTAACTATTTTATCATTTTCATGTTTTGGAAAGGATAATTAGACTAATATATCTGAGAATAAGGGTATTTGCACATTCGGGGAAGATTCAATCACGGAAAAGCAGGTTGTTAAGTAACATCAAGCATTTCTATCTCCTGTCTAATCTTTCATTCATAGTCCACATGCTGAGTGAGTGCAGAGTCAGAATGGCCTCCTCTTCAGCGTGGGTCTCAGGAGTGGCCAGTATCGAAGAGCAGCAGCCCACTCCTGAGATGAAAATAACTATTATGAAGTAAGTATTGAAGATGACGCTTGATATGGTCGCAGAGCACGCCTTCTCATCCCAAGGAGAAACTAGGAAATGACAAGAACGGAGTTAGATGGGAAAGCAATAGGTAAACGCTAGACAGGACTGGATACATGTTTTACATATTCTAAAATAGTACCTCATAGCAACAAAAAAAAAAACTAAGAATAATTTTATCTCACTTTGTTCTGATCTGGTGACTCTAAGTGGCCCAAAATAAAATTTGTAACTTTTTCCTTTACTCATCAAATATTGTATATGTATACAATCAAATATATATATGTGTGTGTGCGTGTGTATATGTATAGAATCAAACAGGCACAAAATATATTCACTTACTTATTAAACAAATATGTCCAGAGCACTTACTCTGTGACAAACGCTGCTCAGACACCAGGGAAATAACAGTGGATGAAAAGACAAAAATACCTGCTCTTGTGTGAATTATAGTGTAAGGAGACAGATGATAAAAAAAGTAACAAGTAAATATGTAGAATGTTAGATGGTTATAACTGCTATGGATGAGAATCAATCAGGGAGGAAGGATAAAGTGTTCTGATTTGCTGTGATGTAAATGTGGTAGTCAAGGAAGAATTTACTGAGAAGTGAAGACTAAAGTGAAATCTGAAAGAATTAATGGAGCAAGTCATCCAGATATAGAGGAATATCCTTATCAGTGGGAGTGACAATTGGTGCAAAGGGAAGGTGCCTGGCATAGTCAAGCAAGGTGTGTGGGTGCAGTGAAGCACCAAAAAGGAGATGGAGTTAGATTAGAGAAGATCAGACTCCTGAGAGTCTGGTAGTGACTTTGATTTTTGTTCTGAGCAAAATGGAAAGTCAACAGAGGATTCTGAGCAGAGGAGTGAATAATCAACTTTTTTAAAAACAGATCATTCTGGTTGCTATTTTAAGAACAGACTAAAGGTGAGAGATGGAATGGAAGATAAAAAGGAAGACTAGACAAGAGGTTATTACTATGATCTTAGCAAAGGATAACGATGTCTCATACCAGGGTAGTGGCGGTGGCAGTGATAAGAAGGAAACAGATTCTGAATATTTTGAAGACAAAGCCAACAGGATGTACCACAGACAAGATGTGAGAGGCATTGAGATTGACTCTAAAGACTATGGCCTGAGCACATAGAAAAATGAAGTTTCTACAATACATGTCCATGCATGAGGATCAGAAATAAAATTGGCAAGGGCAAGTTAAGCATGATGGGAAATATAGACATCCTAATTTTGAGAGAACAAGTAAGCATTCAAGGTGAGATACTTCAATTTCAAGTTTAAAGGAGAGATCCAGAGAGTTATATAAATTCAGGGGCTTTTCAGAATATGGATAGTATTAAAATCACAAGAATGAATGAGATTTCACAGGAAGTACAGTGAGAATGGAAGAGAGGTTTGAGGACCGAGCCTTGGGTCACTTCAAAATTGAGAAGTCAGGCGATGAAGAGGAATAACAATGGAAAATAAAAAGAAATGGCCAGTGAAGTAAAAGGAAAATCTGGCTTATCCGGGAAGGCAAGTGAAAAATATGTCAAGAAGTAATCAGCTGTGTCTGGTTTTACTCATACTTTGGGTAAGAGGTGATCTGGGCACAGATCTTTAATGACACCAGATCTTAGTGATGTAGATAAGAGCAGTCTCTGTGAAATATTGAAAGTACAAGCTTGATGCAGGATGAAATGGGGAACTTAAGAGAGTGAGCACAGTTGCCTCTTCCATGGAGATTTACCACTTAAAAAAGAGGGAGAATGGGGCAGTAGTTGATCAAGAAATCTTATGTTTTTCTTAACTAGGAAAGGGACAGTGAGGACTTGATCCCATCCACGTGCTGATGGAAAAGATTATGCTAGCCAGGAGGAAATTCCAAAGAGAGGAGAATGGCTGGAGCAGTATCTTTCTGGAGGGGAGAAGCCGACTCCGGTCTCCTCCTGGGTAATAGGAGAGAAAACAAAATTGCAGGCACAGAGGCCAGAAGTCAGGTAGAAATTCTCCTTTAATCACCTCTGTCTTCTCCATAAAAGGAGAAACAAGATCACCAGATAGTAAAGGCTCAAAGAACAAAGCTAACAACACAATTTCAGTGGGAAAAGAGAAACACTGTCCCGAGAGATGGGCTGAGATGCACTGGTACCCTGCCATCTCTTCACAGATAAACACCTTCATGAAGGTTCAGGACAGGACAAGACGTGCCGGTACACACTGCGTCTTGGCCCGGCACACGCCGTGCAGGGCGAGAAGAGCCACGCGCTCAGAGAAGTGCTTAAAGGAAGTGAAACTCAGCACAGTCAAGTCAGATCTGCATGTTACTTCCGCCTCTACTTCTGTCCAGACTCGGCCATCACCACTGACCGGTTTCAGTTTTACAAGCCAAGAAGTACTTTATGTACTTTAACTTGATTGTGTTCTGGCGGGGGAGGAGACGATGTGGGGAACAGAGAGGTATGTATTTTGTTTGTTTGCCTTAAATTGGGAGAAATCCCAATTTACTAGGTTTTCATAGTTCTGTTGCAAAGTCATCAATGCCCCTTTCCACAAAATAGCTTCTATTTCAAAGTTGGCCTAAAGGTGACTACTTTTATATAGGCTGGAATTCTCTCATATTTCAGTGTAATTTAAGTCTCAATACATTATTTTTTTGAATTAGAGTGAAACAAGTAGTGTATGAAAACAACACAAAGACTTGCTCTGAGTCAAGATTCAGTGAAAACTATATATAGCTTTTCATTCCATGTTAAATATAGTTAACTACAGAGGTTATATCTGGGACTCTGTTCTTGGTTGCCAATGCTTATTCATTCCCTCAACAACCACTTTGTAAGTACCTACTATGTACCAGGCACACAGTATACAGCAATTAAAAAAAAATACAACAGATCAAGATCCTTACCTTCATGAATCATATTATGTTCAAACGGGAGATATATAGATAATGGACTATTAATAAATAAGAAGACATTATTATGTAAGAAGGTCATAAGGACAATGAAAAAAAATACAGCAGAGCCAAAAGATCAGGTAACCAGTTTGCAACATAAATGGTGCAGTCAAAGCAAGTCTTGCTGAAAGTTAACATCAGGACATATTTGAAGGAGAGGAGCTGTGAGTCAGGCCAGCTCCCTGGGGAAAAGAGAGGCCTACAGAGGCAACAGCAAGTACAAAGACCTGGAGGGAAGGGGTTGCAGGAGTGTTTACACAAGTATGAAGGGTGAGCGTGAGGTTGGTGGGTGACGAGAGGAACAGTAGAGACGGAACTGGCTTTGTAAATTGTGGGGCTCAGTGTAACCTGAAAATGTGGGGTCTCTTGCTCAAAATTATTAAAAATGTAAAGGTAGCTCTGGCAGATCCTTTAACCATCTGCCAGGACCTAGAAGCCAGCTTTGGCAGGAGATGAGGTCAGATCAAACAGATACGAAAGTGGGGGGGCCACATTTGAAGGGCTTTCTAGGCCCCTTGTTAGAACTTTGACTTATTCTCTGAGCAAAATGACACATCATTGGAGAGTTTTAACCAATCTAACTTGCAGCATCTTTGCTGAAATAAGTCTAAGGGGCCCAAAGAAGAAATGAGAGACTAGACAAGAGACTGTTGCAATAATCCAGGTGAGAGATGACAGCGGCTTGGTATAAAGATAGTATTGGCAGAGGTAGTGAGAAGTTGCAGACTCTGCATACATCTTGAAGATGAAACTCACAGATTAGAGATGGGTTTTGTGTAGGGAGGAAGAAAAATTTCAAGAAGAATAAAGAATGACCCCCAAGGTTTTTGGCCTGAGGAACAGAAAAATGGGAGGTGCCCTGAGCTTAGAGAAGGAAGTCTAGACAGACGTGGAGGTGGTGGAGGGGAATGATGAGAAGTTTGGTTCATACCCAGATGTCTGAGATGCCTCTTAGACATTTGGGCAGTGAAGACAGGGGGTTGGCAGTAGGATTCATGAGGGTGGTGTCCAGGAGGGTGGTTGGGCTAGAGATACAAATGTGAAAATAATCAGAAAAGCTGTAATTCTTTAGTGCATCTAAACGTAAAGTTCTCAAGGTATCTAGGTTCTCAAAAGTTCTAGACTAATCAAAATTCTTCCTGTGTCACAAGCATTTTGACTAATGACATCTGTATTGTAATATTTACTTTTTACTTCATTTCCCTTTGATTAAAGCCTTTTTTTTTCCCTTTCACTTGACAGCTGAAACTGAATACCAAGGAATTTAAAATGTGACTAAGAAGAAATTGGGGGAAATTGTTTCTAAATATCACAATCAGTTTTCTGTACCAGCAGCAGACTTTCATTTTGGAACAGATTGTTTATTTTCTAATCTCCAAAATGATCGTTCTGTTACATAAATGTAAAGAAATATTCATCTATTACATCTGTGCTGCCATCTTAAGCTAAATGTAGATAATAAATTTTTTGGAATGTGTGTGTGTTAGTTGTTCAGTTGTGTCCAGTTCTTTGCAACCCCATGGACTGTAGCCTACCTGGCTCCTCTGTCCATGGAATTCTCCAGGCAAGAATACTGGAGTAGGTTGCCATTCCCTTCTCCAAGGGATCTTCCTGACCCAGAGATTGAACCTGGGTCTCCTGCAATGCAGGCAGGTTCTTTATCATTTGAGCTATCCAGGAAGCCTGGTAATTTTCTGGAATAAATAAAATAAATATTTGGGAAACTTAACCAGTAGATTGAGCAGAGGTTGTTATGTTACTTATGTCTGTCACTGGAAAAAAGAACTGTACAGCGATGGGAAAGACCGGTAGTGGACCATGTCTGGACTTTTGCTTGTAGCTGGTAAGGGTTTTTCTGTTAGTTTTAGGAGTTGCTTGTGGGAAAGAAGGGACTGCCTTTACACAGACCCTATGAATCATTAATAAATCAATACTGTGGGAGGAGAGGGGCCCAAAAGGAAGCAAGAAATTGGAAAGAGGGGTATTTTCCCTAAATCTCTTCAGAACCAAATCCACAACTCCGGCATCTCCCCAGGAAGACAGAGAGCAGCAGTTTTAAGAGAATCTGGAGACAGCTCAATTAGGAACCCCTGTCACCTATGGAGAGTTGGGGAGTATAATTTCAGGAAAGACCGGCAGATGGGCAGGGCAGGATGGGGTTGGGGGCACGTGGTGACCATATGTGAGACAGCCCTTCCAGGAGTTCAGAAATAATTTGAAAATGTCTAACAGAAGCGGAGTGATATTCAGTAATTACAGCAGAAGACAGTCAGGGTCTCTGTAAGCGAGCTCACTGTTTATCCACACCATCTTTATGCCCAGCTTGTAAAAAATGCATACAGATACACATCCTAACTCCAAACAGGGCCTGAGGTACTGACTTCTTTGAAATGAGCTTTCCTCTAATATGATCTGCTAGCCACAGCAAAGTCAGGTAGAACCACGGCATTTCTCTAAGCTGAGTGAGGTACATTCATGTTCTTTCCAGGCTATCCCTGACTTCCTGTTCCCTCTCAGTGGGAGAGATGAGTGGGAAGTGGAATCCTGAGTTAGGAGTTTGGGATTAACACATACACACTACTGTATACAGAAAATAGATAACTAACAAGGACCTATTATATAGCATAGGGAACTCCATTCAATATTCGGTAATAACCTTTATAGGAAAAGAATCTGAGAAAGAATAGATATTTTATAGGCACAACTGAATCACTTTGCTGTATACTTGAAACTAACACAGCATTGTAAATCAACTGTACTCCATTATAAAATAAAAGTCAAATTAAATTTTAAAAAGCTGAATTCAGATTCCCAGTGCTTTTTATAATTAGAATTGCACTGATCCTTCCTGTGTAATGAATAAGTCTTCCTCAGTGGCTTAGATGGTAAAGAATCTTCCTGCCATGCAGGAGACCAGGTTTGGTCCCTGGTTTGGGAAGATCCCCTGGAAAAAGTGGGCATGGCAACCCACTTCAGTATTCTTGCCTGGAGAATTCCATGACCAGAGGAGCCTGGTGGGGTTGCCAAGAGTCAGACACGGCTGAGCGACTAACACTTTCACTTTCACTTCACTGTGTAGTGATACTATATCCTCATTCTGTTTTTATACTTCAACGAGATGAGGTAAGCCTAAAGATGTTACTACTGAATAGCTCAGTATAATATGGGTTATAATAATGTTTTTAGTGCTTATAAATTCAATATGAAATAGAACATTTCCCTCCTGCAGTTTACATTCAGTTTATTTTCAGGTTTGAAAATGGCTTCTATTTGGGGGTGCATGAACAGGTAGGAGATGGTGAATGGATCCTAACACACATATAAAAAGAGGAAATATGTCTCCTTTTCATGTCTTAAAACATATAATTATGTCTTGCAGTTTCAAACAGGATATAATGTAACTAGTTGTTTTATGTGACAATGAACCTCTAAAAATATATATGAAAAAAAAATGTTTAGCTTTGTAACCCGAAAAGACCAGAACAATTTTAGGATTATGTCATGTATGTTAAGTAATTTTTTCATCCTGGTAAGTCACATAAAACAGTTTTTCAAACCTGGGGCTGGAAGTTGCTTCACGGAGGGAGGCCGTCCTATGCGCTGGACCACGTGGACCACCACCTCTGGCCTCTGACCAACCATGACAGGCCTTTAGCCCCCAGCCCAGAGCCATGACAATGAAAAGTGTGTCTTGAGGTTGCTAAAGGTCCCCTGGGTGGCAAAATCACCCCTGGCTGAGAACCACTGACACAGAATCTACTGCTTTATGACTAGAAGAGAGACTGAAATTAATTTTTATAATATATCTTGTAATTCTTTCATTCTGAGCAACCATTTTGAAGTCATCAACCAAGAGAACACAGCCAAGCTTTGCCAAAAGGATAAAGACACCATCTCTTCCAAAGCCATCAAATGACACCCTGTACACTGTCATTTGATGAAGCACACCAATGATCCGTTATCTCTGTCAGTCCTGCTCCTCACAGATGCCACAGTTGACTAATCTACTTCCTTCTTCAGAAATGCAACAGCCTAGAAACAGCAAGCGTCAGGTGATTTTTGTCCACTCAGTAGGATTTATGTCTCACTAAGCTGGGCAACAGGCAGGAAGACCACAGAGTTGCGTCGCAAAAGCCTGTTGGTTTTTCATCTGCTTACTGATAAAGGCTTGACTTTGAGCACACTTTGTCAGGGGTATCTTTTAAACAATTAGTTTTTTAAGAAGCTTTACGATAACTGCTTAGATTTCCACTGCATAGGGGAGAGACTGGTAAGACACTTTGAAATGACTGGATGATAAATAAACCCACGCAATTTTTTTTTTCATATTTATCTATTACTTTCTTGTTTGCTCTTTGATGAAACGCTAAAGTTGTCCAGAGCTCTGGTGTATACCGTTTCTAAAGAGGAACATAATGAGAATCTCTGCAGCAAAGCCTATCTTTGAGACTGGGTGAACGAGCCACTTATTTCAAGCAGTATTTGGTTCAAGATTGTACCAACAATGTCACTGAATTTGATAAGTTCTTAATTTATAATGTTCACGCTTGATTGTGATTGAACTTTGATCCTGTTTTGCTGACTTTCTTCCACTGTGTATCAAAGGCCTCAAGAAGGAGAAAGAAAAACTGAGTAGTTTGATGTTTGAAAAAAATTCTGAGACATGGTTTCATTCAACAGATATTTTTGAACTTCCTCTGCTTATTATACTTTTTTCTAGACCTCCCACACTTTAAAAGGAGTTTTCCAGACAAGGATATCCAGGTGGTGCCATGTCTAAAGACACTGCTGAAAAGAGGTAAAATCTTTGTTAAAATTTATTCCCGTGCTTTTAGTGAGGAACCAACAAGAAAAGAGGGAACAACAGGTTCTTCATCTCATCCTTGGCACAGCAGATGAGAAACCAAAAAAGCAGAGTGAAGTGGAAACTTTCTGCTGTTAAGGAAACTGATCCAGATAATGACATGGACGCATTTCTCTGCATTTTGCAAAGTAAATTTCATTCTTTCGGAAGTTTCCAGTTTTTTAATTTGAATTTCTTGGTGTAGGTAAAAAGATTTTTGAGAATTGTTTTTCCCTCTTTAATTAAAAAGAAATAATAATATTCAATAGCAATTATCTGAAGAAGGGGAGAAAAAAAGGAAAGAAAACAAGAGAAGCCACAAAGCCCCAGCTGCTGTTAGTTCCTGTTCACTCAGGCTGGCTCGTGACGTAGGTTTGCTGTATTTTGAATTCACATATTAGAAACATTCATTCAGAGAGGAAACTGGCTTTGGCATAATCAACAGAAGAAAATAGCGTTCATAGAACTGTTATTCAAAAAGAAGCACAGAGCTGTACTTCTTGTTCTAATGAAACTTACCTTGGCTTAGTTATATCAGCGAGGAAAAACAGGTGTACTTTACGGTGGGTAACTTCTGACCCTGCTGCTGGGAAAGATTGAAGGCAGGAGGAGAAGGGGACGACAGAGGACGAGATGGTTGGATGGCATCACCAACTCAATGGACATGAGTTTGAGCAAGTTCTGGGAGATGGTGGAGGACAGGAAGTCTGGTGCAGTCCATGGGGTCACAAAGAGACAGACACAACTCGAGTGACTGAACAACAACCACTTCTGACATGAAAATTTGAACAAAGTTTCATAAATAATTATTGGAATCTGAGAAAGAATCAGACCTTGCAGTTTGGGTAGCTGAGAGTTTGGGGTCTCAACTGCTCAAAACAGGGGAGTTGGAAGAGGAAGGAATGCCTTTCTTTGGAGACTTTGCAGGGCCCAGAATTAAGTTATCTGGTTTCCTCCAACCACAGTTCTGGGCTGCACTTTAAAGCAACTCTGTTTGTAGCATCAGTGCCACAGTTGAGGTCCCCAGGCTACAAGTCCTGTCCTCAGGCAGGCCCCTCTCTAGGCCCTGTCCTGTTTCTTTGTTGGGTCTGCAAGACCCTCCCTGGACCAAAGCTGCTTTGATTTGACACCTCATATCTCCACATTGGATCTAATTTAGTGCAGTGGAGAATCATTCACTCATTAAAGACATTCATGACCATCTTTCACGCTAGAAGCCTACATCTCAGAACTATGGTTTCCAGCTGCCATGGTTTTGTGGCATCAGGCTGCTGTATGTCATATACCACTGCTCTGTTCATAATATTTAGACAGTGCCATAGCAACACATAAAATACGACCTCCAGAGGTCTGCATTCCTCCAGCTCTGTGTCAAGTATTAGAGAAATTCCTGAGGAAGGGAGCCATACTACAGAGCATCCGAACTGCTCCCTTTATGGTAGCAACTGCAGAAACCTGGAGCAGAAACACATCTGAGGATTCTATATTCGGTTCTAGAAATGTCCCCACGTACTTGAAGTTTTCTGGTTTTATTTATAAGGCATCAAGAAATCCTCTTATTTAATTCTATAAAGAGCTACTAAAACCTTACCACTTCATAGTTAATCTTCTTTCTCTTTCCACAGAAGAAAAAATAGACTATCATCTTTTATTATCTAAGCGTTTCGTATAAAAGTATTAGTGGAGGTGGGCTTCCCAGGTAGCTCAGTGGTGAAGAACCCACCTGCCAATGCAGGAGACGCACGAGACACAGCTTCGATCCCTGGGTCAGGAAGATCCCCTGGAGTAGGAAATGGCAGCCCACCCCAGTATTATTGCCTGG